CAACGACAGCACCAGCTGCACCAGCTCGACTTCAAGTCGGCTTACCTGCAGGCTGATCTCAAGGAGGAGCTGTACATGGAGCTGCCGCCGCACTTCACCGACATCGGCGACGGCGCTCAACGCTACGCGGGCAAGGTGTGCCGGCTGCTCAAGCCGCTCTACGGTCTCAAGCAAGCTGGCCGTGCATGGGCCAAGAAGCTGCACACCTTCCTCAAGACCAACGGATGGGCGCAAAGCAACGTCGACGCTTGCCTCTTCACCAAGCTCCACGACGACGGACAGCGCACATGGATCATCACGTACGTCGACGACCTCATCATCAGCGGCAGCAGCGAGCGCCACATCCGTGCCTGCAAGCAGCAGATCAAGGAGAGCTTCGAGGCTGAGGACCTGGGCCCGCTCACCTGGTACCTGGGCCTTCACCTGACGTCACCAGCTGACGGGGTGTTGCACATTGCGCAGACACAGGCCATCAACGACATCATCAACGACTACAACCTGGCAGCGGCAGCCAGCGTGTCCACGCCCATGCGTGTTGGCATCGACGCCTCCAGCATCAGCGAGCAGCCCGACCGACGCCTGCCTTTCCGCAACCTCGTCGGCTCGCTCCTGTACCTGGCCAACCGCACGAGACCAGACGTCAGCTTCGCGTGCGGGCTGCTCTGCCGTTACATGGACCGTTACACGACGGTCCACTGGCAGGCAGCCAAGCACGTCGTGCGGTACCTGAAGGCGACGAGCGAGCACGGCCTCCTCTTCAAGCGACGCAGCGGCACGCACAAGGACCAGCTGTTGACAGGCAAGTCCTGCCTGCTGAGTCATCATTGACCTCCCTTCTTCACGACACCACAAATTCACATTCACCTCTCTTGTGTTCTGGAATGTTCACGTGATTTCCCTCCAACCTGTTGCACGTGCAGTGTTTAGCTTGTGTGGTTGCTCGATGTTACATGCTCTTGCATAACACACCACATAACCACACAACTCTCAACAAACACTGCCACGTCACCACTTTGCGTTGTCGACAATTCTTGTCTTCTGCTCTGTTTCTTTCTGTTGGAGTGTTCATTCATCCTACATCCTTGTTTGCTTCACAACTCAAGTAAACACACACAACTCTCTCTTGCCAAGACAATCTCCCACACAACACACAGCACACACAGCACACAC